TTGCCTTTGCTGTTCTAGGTCTCTTCTGGTTCCAGATGAATTTTAGAATTTTCTTCTCTAATTTTGAGACATATGCTATTGGAATTTTGATTGGGATTGCATTGAATCTGTATAAAGAGTTTTGGAAGTATGGTCATTTTCACTATATCAGTTCTTCCTACCTAAGAGCATGGGATATCTCTCCATTTTCTAATATCATCTTCAATCTCCCTCTTCAGAGACTACTATAGTTTTCAATGTAGAGGTCTTTTAAGATGTGCTTTATTAAAACAATGGGATAATACTCAGCTATAAAGGAGGATAAACTGGAGACATCTATAGGTAAATGGATGCAACTTGAGACCATACTCATAAGTGAAAAAACTAGGTGCATTTGTGTAAACATTGTATTGTTTCATTAGTTTGAGAAGCTGAGAGTAAATAAGATCCAAAATGTATAATACATACTATAAAATGGGAAGAATTTTCAAAGGAAAGAGAAGCTGGGATGGGAGAATAGAGAAAGGAAGGAAGGGAAAAACCTAAACAAACAAACAAACAAAAAAAATATATATATACATAAAAGATAATTAAGGTAGTTATACTACCAATTTCTCTAGTTCATTGAAAAAGAAAGGTTTGTGTTAAAAGAAAGCTTTTTGGACAATTAAATGCCCATAATTTTTACTCTGAGTAACTAATTTAATGATAACAATATACAATGTATTAATCATTCTTACTCTTTTATCATCTCGTTTTGAAATTGTTTTCTTTTCTGTTTAAAATTTTTAAAAAGATGATCATGCTGTCACATCTATAATTTCCCAAGTAATTAATTTATTGCATTCTTTTTATTTAATGACAAAAGTATCTATGAATTTTCCTCTTCTCATAGCTTTGACTGCATCCCATATGCAGCATTCTTAAAATTTTAACTCCAATTTTTACCCCCAGGCAGTTCAGTCTCTATTTGTATTTTTCTTTTCTTTTTCCAATTGCTTGAGGACAGAATTGTTTGAATCATAATCTTTGATTTACAGCATTACATCATTATTGGTTTATGAATGGCTGAATTTTATTTATTTGTTCACTTACTTATTTACTGACGATCCACAAACCTCCCATGAAACTATTTTGTTGGATACAAAGTCTGTTCAGCAATGTCCTTTTCATTTTGTTTTTAAAACCTCCTTCTTTCTGTCTCTTCCTCTCTACCTCCTCCTTCTTTTTTCCTTTCTCTTTTCCTCTTTCATATTTCTGGTAATGCTAGGGATTGAATCCGGGCCTCACACAAGCCAGATGAATGCTGTATCACTGAGCTACCACCCCAGCCCCTGTATCTGATGAGGTTTCTTTGTCTGTAAAGTTCATTTAAAAACAGTATCTATCTCAGATGGTGCTGTTGTTTGAGAATTAAATAAGTTAAAGTTTGTAAAATGCCTAAGTCAGTATCTGGCACATAATGTAACTTAAGTGTTAGTTAATATTTTTACTATTTTGTTTCATCCAATTTATTAACATATTTTTCAGTCTTTCCCTGTCGTATCCTTTCTTTTTTTTTTTTGGTCTTTTTCTTTTTTATCAGTACCGGGGATCGAACTCACAACTGCACACTTGCAAGGCAGGCACTTATGCCACTGAGCTAAATCCCCAGCCCCTGGACCTTCATTTCTAATCTCAGGCTGAAACAGAGACCACCACAAGAACAGAGGACAAATTCCTGAACCCTTAACCTGTTACTTACTGGAGGCATGATTTGAGTTTTCCCCTGAGACAGTCAGGGTTTTGCAAGCTACTTCTGCTAACACAACACAACACAACACAACACAACACAACACAACACAACAAAACAAAACAAAACAAAACAAAAGCAATGAGTCTCCACTTGGGCCTCGGTTGCTCAGCACAGAACCTGACCTTCATTTGGTGTCTGTCTGTCTGCCTTGACTGCTCAGCTCTGCATACAGGGATGTCAGTCATTTAACAAGCGTCAGTCTAAAGGCTGGCAATACAATGTCAGCTGGTCCTACGCTTGCATAACCTGTATCATCCTTTTCAAGATGGAGGGCGTCTAGATAAGAGATTTACAGGACGTTCAATCACCAGTGGGTGTCCAGAAGTTGCTAGTCATTGCCCAGACCTCCAGCCACCTGGATTCTAACAGAGCCTCCACAGGCCTGTGACGGGCCCAGCAGACAGACATCTCCGGAAGTACTTCCTCCCTCTCCCCAGCAATGAACTGTTCTCCTGAGTCCTGTTGAAAACCCAGAACTGATATGATGGTCAACCAGACCCCAGCCAGAGCAATGGACCCATCCACTGCTTTGTTAATGGGCCAGTCTGGTCTTCTCTGTTAAAGCTGAAACTCCTCAAGCTGAAATTCCGTCCCATTTTCTCTCACTCTCTAACTGAGTAATCGATCTGCTCATGTCTCTCACCAATGTGTTCTGAAGTGGTTTTCTCAAAAAGTCAAGAACTGGTTCTGGCCCAGGTAAAGTCCTTATCTCCTGTTGAGGAGTCCTCTTCACATCCCATCTAGTGACAAAGCTTCTCACCTTAATTCAACCCTGTTTAATATTAACAAACAAACAACAGCAGCAGCAAAACAAAAAACACCCAGACTTTTGTTGCCCTTGTTTGTGTTTGCCTAATTCAGGCTGAGACCTGTAATCTGGGAATCTGAGACACACCGAAATCTGAAATGTTTTGAGTGTGAACATACCAACTTTCAGATTTTGGGTTACAGTTGCTCAAAAGATAAAATGTACGCGAACGGTCTCAGTCCCCAAATCTCCAGGACTGGAAATGCCTCTGGTCCCAAGCATTTTGGATTGGGGATATTCATCTGTGTAGCTATTTCATGGCTAACATTTCTGAGAGTCCTTCAAATTGTTCTTTGGTTCCCCTTCCCTTGTCATCATCCCGTCTTCAGGGTGCGGAGAAGTCCTGCTTAGACAGTAGCTATTCAACCTTTTTTTTTAGATCCACAGAGTTCAGACATCCTTGTGCTGTCCTCCTCAGTCACAAGCCTCAGGAGGCTGAAATCTACTGTGAAGTCGTGGGAGGCTTGTGCCCTTGCTGAAGAAGACCCCCACCCAGCCTGCAACCTCTCTGTCTCCTCTGCATCCCGTACAAACCAATGGCACCTCCAAATTTTGAGAAGCGAGCCCTCTCTCGTCTTCAGGGCCACCCTGGAATAATTCTGATTCCTTCCTACCAACATCTGTCTCTGGGGTGTTGACAGCTAAGGGCAGGTAGCCGCGACATTTGCCTCTAGTAACAAGACCACAGAACTGACTTTTAAAAAAATTCTATTTAGAACTCTTTTCTTTTAAAAGATAATTTTATCCAGTTACATTTATTATTAAAGCATATTCAAACTTGCCCCTACCATATTATTTCCTGTTTTCTGATTTTGTGTTTCTTTTATCCCTCACTCTTTCTTGGGTTGCAAGATCTCTATTTTCTTGAAATAATTTTTTCCCTTAGCAATTTGGAAGAAGCATCGTTTGCTTTCTGTCAAACACGTTTGCAACTTTAAATAACGCACTTAGATTTCTTTTTCCCAATATATCATTGACAGGGTTTTTAACAACAGCGCTTGGCTGTCTCCCTGAGTAGACTCACCAGACGCTTGCCAAAACTCCTCCTCACTCCGCCAGGCTGAGTTTCCTCCCCAGCCCTGGCTAAATGGCTTTGGCTGCCCTTGTCTGTGGCTGTTTCCAAACAAAACTTGTTAACATATTGTCACATTATCCTTCTTTGAAACATACAGATTTGGCTCTGGCTGCAGTGGTAAAATAGCAGGTGGGCCTCCCCTAAACCAGGGGAGGGCAGTGCTGGGTGGACATGAGGCCCAGAGTGGGGAGAGACAGGTCCAGAGCAGAGGAGTGGCAGCTGCAGGGCCCCCTGTGATTGTCCCACAGGAGGAGGCCACACAGAATGGGGGCACAGAACGTTAGGTCAAAGTGCCCTTCTCCTACTCCATGGTCCAAAGGATTCCCCGTTCCCTGCTTTATAACAACACAAGGCTTCCTCCCATGGGCCAAGGACTTTTCCATTTCTTCTCCCTGCTTGGTCTCCATTTTCTCTACTCACCAGCCTTCCAGAACCTTCTCCATGGCTGTCCCATCTCTTCCTAGAAGGCTCTGACAGATCAGCACAGGGTGTTTGAAAGCCTGGGGCTTCCCTGACCCTCTTGGCCTCAGCCCCGCTCCCTGGCCTCTGGAGCCCAGCTCCGTCTGCTTCTCCCAGGGGGTCCCCTTGACTTCCTGCTCGGTACCCCTACTTCTCCATGCCATTCTCGCTCAGCTGTCTCGTGCCAATCTGTGACGTCTGCAATTTGAGGAATCTGTCTTTTCCCGCCATACTTGGAGCCCCTACGGCCAGGGCTGTGGTCGTCTGTGTCTGTTGTTCCCCAAGGCTTATGGGGCTAAGCACAAGAGAAGCTAACAGAACTATGGGATGGATGGAAGGTAAACACAAGGACTCTGAAATCTGACTACTTGGGTTCAAATACCAGATCTGCTGGTAGGCTGGGGGCAAATTACTTAACATCTCCACAAAGCTTGTTGTGGGTGTTAAATGTGACAGTGTGTGAACAATACGGCCCAGCTTCCAGCTCGTGGACTATGTGAGCCACCAATGCCATCAGTTATGACCATGTTTCATTGACCTGACACAATGGCTGATACTGTGTACTGGGGCTAGGTGTGTGACCAGAGCTCCAGCGTGGGAGGCTAGTGACCGAGGGCAAAGCATTTCCTTTACATGGAACAAGAGGACAGAACACATGCCCTTTGCTCTGGCCTCCACAAACGCTGTGGGTGTTGAGAGCTTGTGAGCTGCACTCTGCTCCAGGGGCCTGGAGAACACACTTTCGGCAGACACTGTGGCCCAGTTTCTGACCTGGCCCTCCAGCTGAAGGCCTCCTTTTCCTTTCCTTCCTCTCCTCCTCCTCTCTTCTCTGACCTTCTTTGGTTGCTCCCGACCTTCCCAGCCCTGCATCCCCCGGGAGGTACCAGTGCTCCGCTGCTGAGCAGGATCATGAAGATGATGAATGTCTCAAACCAGCTGTGCTCCACAATGCGATAGCAGGTCTTTCGCAGTCGCCACCAGACCTTCCCTGGGGCCTGGGTGGTGTCTACTGCACAGCAGGGACAGCGCTGGACACAGCCTGTGGGGAAGAGTGACATTAGGCCCAGCTCAGGCCCTAAGGAATCCCCTTGTCTGACAGCAGAATTCCAGGTGGTTGAAGGAATGGGTGGTGGACAGGATAATGTGGTGAGTGGTCCCACTCACACAGCTGGGTGGACTAAGCCCCCAGTGAGCAGGGGAACAGCCTGGCCGGTCTGAACAGGGACAAGACTGGGGCTGACATGGCTCCAGCTTTTTCTCTGTGCCTCTGGGAAGCCCTCTCCTGAGGAAACGCTCAGGAACTCGGGGGTACTCTGTCCTGGGTCTTCTCCACCGTGGCAGTTTCTGTGTCTTGGGAAGGGCAGACCCTCTCAGTGACAGCCCCGACTGCCACGCCACATGAAACGATGTACCACCAATTCACAGAAGGTGTCAGGCGCTGATGTGGTCACATGCCACATCCAGCTTGAGTGTCACTGAGGGCTGCCAGTGTGCACAGCCTGGTGGTACAGGGGCAACTTGGGCACAGCAGGGCACACACCCATGCCAGCCCATTACCAAGGATCACCAGTCCACGGTGGGGCTGTAATATAGTTGCCCAGCCTGCTCACCTGACTTGCCATGACTACATCACAGGCAGATGGAGGAGACTTAGTGTCACAAAGAACTGGGGACAGAGGGCCTGTTCCAGGTGGGGGTGGGGCAGACAGGGCCCTGGGGTTTTAAGGAGTCGCTGGTCTTCCTGTCCCCTCTAGGTGGCACTGGTGCTGGCCCTGGGGCTGGGGCTGGGGGGCAGGTCTGCCCAGGCTGCACCTTCAGTGAAGCAGTCCTCTGGATCCTTGACGTCCTCGCCCAGGTCAGGGATCTGCTCCAGGAGGTCTGCGGTGTTGGTCATGTCTGCTGTGCTCCCTTCAGAGTAACTGTCCTCGTGGGTCTGTGGATGTGCAGAGAGGTGGGAAGGGCGAGGGCATTAATCCAGAGTCTGGGAGGAGTCTTGGGGTAGATGGCAGATGCCCGGCACAGAGGCTGGGCCAGTGGGGACTGAGACCAGGCTAACCAAAGGGTCCTTGTGTCCATGGCTCTGGCCAGCTGGGGTCCAGGGCTGGGATGTGAGGGTGTCGAGGGCTCTGAAGAACTCTGGTATGGTGAGCATCTGGGAACAAGCAGACATGGGCAGCAACAGGGATGCATGGCGGGACACGGACACACATGCAGAACAGAGTCGGAACTGGGATCACTGCACGCAGAGCAGCGAAGTGGGCAAGCGGAAAACAGGCCAGTGGCCACCCATGCTTCTCCCCTAATGGGGGCTGACGTGATATGTGTGCCCAAGACTGAGCAGATGCTGGACCCTGCTCTTCCTGGCCATGCTGGGTTTGCTGCCTAGACCTTGATCACTTGATTATGGTGGAGGGGTATGGTGTCCCCTGTGTGTCACCTGTGGGCAGTGGCCACTGCTGCTGCTCTGTGCAAGTCCCCTCTATTGCAGAGCCAGGGCACCTGCCACCCTGGGAAAGGGCTCTGCAGAGACCAATACCTGGCAGGTTCCGGGACCACAGAGGGCCGGAGCCTGCCTTGAACCGGCTCCAGAAAACCTTCAGGCTCGGGAAGAAAGGCATCCTGCCCTTCCTCCACTTTCCCTCGCCCTGGTCTCCCCTAGCACCTCCCTAGGGGTCTAAGCAAGTCATCTGCACTGTGGAACCCCTCGCTCCACTCAGCTCTTCCTCAGAGGAGCCCAGTGTAAAGGGAGGTGTAGGGGAAGGCCCTGGGTGGAAGTCCCTCCTCTGCGGCTGGCCAGGTCGCACCTCGCCTTGGTTGGCTCCAGGCCCCACCTGGAGCCGGTGGGCTGAATGGCTGGGTGCGGCTCTTCTCCCCGGGCCGCGCTCCTTCTCTTCCCTCAATGAATGCCTCCACAGACGTCTCCATGTTGGCATTCCCATTTTTGAGGTTTAGAAGAGAAAGGCCTGGTTCTGGAGAAAGCAGACCTGCTGCCAGGTAGAGACAGGGGTGAGCTCTGCATGTTGTGGTCTGATGGCTTCCAGGGCTCTCGCTCTGCTCTCCCCAACCGGGCTGGGCTAGGAGATGGGAGGCCAAGGTTTCCTACCACTTTTTTGATGTCCCTGGAGATGCCATGCAGGAGGATAAGATCACAGGATCCCATTCCCAGTGAGGTGAGAGTTCTTTCCCAGGGAAAACTCCAGGACATTTCTCCCTCCCTTTTAAAGGCCCCACAGTAAACCCATTTGAGGAAAGGAAGTGGTTACACAGTACATTCAAAGCCCCATAATCTCCCCTGGGACTTTTCAGGCTCTCCCCCATCTTCTCGCCTCTGTATGGCTCAAGGGTCACCCATCACGAGGAAGTGGTGACCCACACAGTTGGGATAATGACTCTATGAGACCCTTGTGTCCCAGAATCGGCCATGACTGCAAAGAATCCCTAGACCTGTTTCACAGGAAGGAGTCGCCTGCTCTGAGCTGGGAGTCATTACCAAGCACGTAAACGAGTGACTCCCTCCACATGCTTGATGTGAGTGAGGCCGGGCGGCACAGCTGGTCCCACCACAGTTTCTCAGTTCTAGGGTGGGGCAGAGAAGGTCAGACAGGCGGCCCTGCAGCACACCTGGGAGCTGCAGCCGCTGTCAGCAAGGCACCCAGCACTCAGCCAGCTCCTTGAACAGAGCGTGATGCCTTTTCAGTTTTAAAAGGAGTCAGCAATGCAGATTTACATAAAACTTCTGCCATTTGGAAGGGTGTTATCTAATACAAAGTAAAACTTATTTAATTTAAAATTTGGAACTAAAGATTGAACTGAGGCCCGTTGCACACTGAGCTATATCCTCCAGCCCAGCTTTTAAAAATGTTCTTCTCGGGACATGGTCTTACTAAATTGCATAGGTTGGGTCTGAAGTTGCAGCTCTCCTGCCTCAGCCTCCCAGAGCGCTGGGATTACAAGTATGCACTACCCCACCTGGCTAAAGTGAAACCTGGTGGCCAAATAAATTCCTGTGGCAGGCTGAGTAGAAGGCTCCAGTTCATGGTCTCTGCTTTAGTGCAGCAGAGAAGCAACTGGTGACCAGGGACTAGGCAGTTTCTCGAGCTCCCTAGTGGAGGATGCACAGGACACACACTGGCCAAACAGGACAGAAGCGCAGGAGTAGAGTGTGAGGGAGAAGCCAGAGGGGTCAGGTTGGTGCTGCGTCAGCCCTGCAACAGCCGGTTCCCTCGGGCCTGGCACGTCTCACATCAGGACAAGTGCCCACCCTCCTCTCTGCAGATGGATCCCCATGCTTCTTGTGACAGGGCAGTGGTGGTGGCTCCCACCAGCAAACACAGGCGTGCATGGCCCGCAGATTCCAGGGACAAAGGCGTGCATTATTACCTCACTGGACCCTGGGGCCTGGGGCTCCGCTTTCCGCTGTTGCCGCCAGTTTGCCTGAGACACCCCAGTCTCAGCCTCAGAGGTGGTGGTCTCTGACCCCTGGCTCCGGGCCCTGGGCTCCTGGGGGTGCTCTGGGCCATCAGAGACAGGCTGGGATTCCTGCTGAAGAGACCTCAGCCTGTCAGCTGGCCTACACACCCAGCTAGAGGGTCTCCAGGGTTCCCCAGGCCTCCTGCTTCTCTGTGAGCCATCGTTGCACTGTAGAACCCTCTGTTCACCCCAGGACCTGAGCAGGTAGTGGGAGCTTCCTGGAGCGCCAGGCACAGGTCCTACAGCCCCTGCCAGCCTGGCACAAATCCTGTCTCCAGACCTCGGGAAGGGTGTGGCTGTCCATGTCATCTCCTGTGCGTTCCAACTTCCCTTAGGAGGGACACACTGACATCCTCCAAGAGCTCCCGAGGTGCTCAGTGTGCTAGTGTGTGTGCGCGTGCACACACACACACACACACACACACACACACACACACACACTCCTGTGCTGGCTCCAGGGAGTCACAGTCATCAGGTTCAAGACAAGGAACGTGCAGGGGAAAGGGGGGCAGCCAGAATTCCACTCCCGGGCAGGAGATAACTGGAAGCTGTGCTCTTGGCAACACCCTACTCCCATCCCCCAGCAGACACAGCCCTTCCACCTGACTAGAAGGCAGGGCTGGCCTCGGGGACCACAGGAAGCCGGGGAGGCGGTGCCCATGGCTGCTCTCCACCACTGGCTGCCCAGCACAGGCCGGCTCCTGGGGAAAATGGGATGGCTGCTTGACCTGTAGACCCCAGGAGAAGCCTCCGGAGCTAGCTCAGGCCACTAGGACTCTGCTGGCAGTCTTTCTGTTTCGACAGACTCTGGTCCCGAGTGTTAAAAATAACAGGTTGGGAGATAAGATAGTGCAGTCTCTGACACCTCTGTCTTAGGGATGCTTATTTTTAAATCTCAGAATTAGCCCCAGGCACGCAAGGGGGAAGGGGCAGTCCAGAGGTCAGGGGACCACTGAGACATTCCACCTTGCCAGGCCTGGGAAGGTGGTCAGGGTGCGTGGCCTGGCAATGCCTTAGACTCACGAGGAGCTCCTAGCAAGTATCTCTGTTGCTGTGCCTCAATTTCCTTGTTCATACAACTAGTTGGCCATGATCAGCCAGGGGATGAGTGGACACCAGCTGGCCTCGGCAGCCCTGTCTTCACCCTACCCCCACCCTGTACCACTTCTGCTGCTGAGGCAGCGGGTAGGGGTGGGAGCCAGGGCCCTGGACAGCAGTGCTCCGCAGGGCGTGGCTCACCTGCTTGCTGGATTCCTCCTCAGTGCCCAGGCTGTTCTCATCCTCCTCCTCCTGGTCATCTGTGTCCGACTCAGCCACAGCGATGGGCACACACACGGGCTCTGGCTCCCCGGGGGTGCCTTGGCCAGGGTGCTTGCTCTCCTCAAACCGTGTTTCCTTGCGGGCAGGGGGTGCCTTCTCCACCTCCGCTGGTGGTGGGGACCTGGGGCTGGTCATGCAGCTGGGCAGCTGGCTGTGGGCTGTGGGGGCTGCAGGCTTCTTAGGCCGCTGCTGCAGGAGCCCGCAGCAGAAGTCCCAGGTAGTCCGCTTGAGGAAGTGCAGGCCCCGCTGGATGCGGGCCAGGGCCAGCTGCAGGTTATTCATCTCCCCATCCTCATCTGGAGCCGTGAGGTTGTCGGCACTGAAGGAGCTGAGCAGCAAGGCCAGGAAGAGGTTCAGGACCTGTGGGGGACAGGGCTGGCTCACCCAGGCACTGCACCAGGCCACGCACTGGCCTTGGCTCTGTGGGGGACACTGAGGCCAGAGACCCTGAACACTGCGCTGGACAAACAGCTCTGAGGCTCGAAGCCCTGGACTCTCATGCTGACCCTCAACCCTTGTTCTCTTGAATGTGGACGATTTGTCTATGAAAGAGATACACATTGAAATCCTTCTTCCCAAGGGCTCAGGAGTCCGAATCGCGGACCTTTGGAGCCTGTTACCTTCTCTCTCCCCCAGGCCCCTTCCGTGTCAGAGGCTGGGCAGCCTCAGGCCGCTTTTCCACACAGATCCCCCTTCTCCTTCACCTCTTCCTGCTGCCTCAAGAGTAACAGGACAGTGGGGTCAGGTGTAACAGGGGAAAGGGTGTCTGGGACCAGAGAGAATCCCCGGCTCTGGGGGCCTTCTTTGGGACGGCACCACGTATCTGTTGGGGAAGCAGCTGCAGAATTGGCCTCTGAGCTCCTCATAGATTGGCTGTCTGCTTGGAGACCAGGGGCTGCTGCTACCGGGCACTGCCTACCTGTGTCCTCCATCTGACTGTTTTTTCCAGGAAAGAAACGCTAAGGACTGAGCAGAGAAGAAGTGACGGCAGATAAAAAGACCAGGAGGGCACAAGAAGCCCTCAGGTGTCTCTGGATGGTTATGGCTTGCCACAGAGAGGTGGCTGTGTCCAGTCTAAGATGCCTGGATGGTGCTGGGCGGGGGGCAGACACTGGGAGTAGAGACCTGGGACTGGTGCCAGGATCAGCCCCGATTCTAGCCCATGCTGCTGCAGAGCTCAGAGCAGCAGTGCAGGTCCTGAGGTCCTGAAAGACATGGCGCTTTCCTGAAGTTAGGACTTCCAGGGATAGGGACTCTCTGACACTGTCTGTTGTCAAACCACCCTGCAATGTAAGGCTTTGCTTAAGAACCAGGAAGAGACACTTGCACTGGGACAGATGGGCAGCCACAGGAGCAAGGCCTGTCCCCTCATGATGGAAGAGCAAGACGTGTGACAGGGCCTGGGTTTGGGTCTACTTCTCAGGTTGTTGAATAGTGAATGCACATAACAGTTGGTTTGACCCCCACAGGGTTGGACTGACCTGCGAGCGCTACCAGGCTGACAGTGTAGGGTGGCAGCTCCCACAGTGGGCCTGATGTCTCTGGGGGAAGTGCAACTGAGCAGGGACTCTGGAGCAGGGTGGCTGGTGTGGGGACACATGATTCTCTCTGGAAATCCCCTGTGTGGCTTCACAGCCCCTCAGAGACACCTCCACCAGGACCTCACACCTGACAGAATTCTCATCCAAGCAGGGAGAAGATGGGAGAGCCAGGCCTTAGAAACAAGCCTTTGGTTTAAAAAGTGACCTAACACATAGTTACACAGGTGGTACGGGAAGCCTTAGGAGCAGGTGTCCAGAGATGGCCACTCCTGACATCAGGCAGTTCCTTCTTTGTCATCGCTGGGAGGCAGGACATATGATGTAAATCAGAGCTGCTGTCCACATGCACCTCTGGCCTGGCCTTTGTGTAGTCTGCAAGGATCAGGCAAGACCCTCCTCTGTGCCTGCAGCCCCGGACCCTCCCCAGCAACTCTCAGCCTTGCCTGGCCCCATGTTCCTCAATCCCGAGTCCAGGGCTCAGCAAGGGCATCTGGCGGCCTTGTCCACCCACACAGGACCCGCAGGCCTCCCTTGTCCCTGGCTTCCCAAGCTCAGCTTCTGCCAGTGCTTCCTGTCAATCATGCGCTGCTCTCCAGCCCAGCCTGATCATCACTTCCCCTTTCAATGGCAATCTTGCTTCCACCCACGCTGCCGGGCCGGCAGTAGCCCAATTCCGAGGCGGTCAGGGAGGGGGCTGTGTGGGCTGGCATTAGCTTCCCTCCTCCAGCAGCCTCTAATCTCATCCCCAGGCAGATCTGCTCTGAAATGGCAGGGCTCTGTGTGTGAGGGGCAGCCTGGCCTGGGCTAAGAGCCCCACACATTTGCCTCCTGCTTAGAATAGTCCGGCAGCCCGACCTGGGGCCAGGCCTAAGTGAGGCTTCACCCCAGGACAGCCAGCTTGAAGGTACGGAAAGAGGGGTGAAGCCAGCCAAAGAACTGGGTTCTGTTAGCACTGTGCATGGATGTCCTCATTCCTTTGGGGGACTGAGGGCTGACCTCGGCTTGCCCTGGCCTGGCCTGGCTAAGTGAAAGCAGGCAGATCTGGGGAAAGGCTCTGGTTCTGCAATCTGTTGTTTTCACCCTGTGACAGGCTGAAAAATCAGACCTAAAAGCTCCCAGGTTCTGATGTGTTCCTGGATGCCCACGATGGAAACACAGCTGTAAGGGAGCCAGGCCACGCAGGTTTGGGCCACCTGTTTGACCAGGAAGGTGGCTGCACGTCCACGGGGGACTCATTTGTGCCTGAACCACTGGCTCGCCTCAGCCTTGCTTTTTCCTAGGGCCCCTTCTCTGGCATTTAGATTTTGAACTTTCTCATCCCTGGAATTCTGCACATTGTAAAGATACAGGAGCAGACGCTTGCACTGGGACAGACAGGCAGCCACAGGAGCAAAGGCCTGGCCCTCATGATGGAAGAGCAGCACGAGATTCCTACTCAGCTGCTCAGGATGGCAGGAAATCTCCTTCCGGGCCACTCCCCCAGGATCCCCAGCTGTCTGCCCTGTGCCTGCTCACCCTTTGGCATTACCTGTTTCTTAGGGCAGTTTCTCCCAGGAAGCCTTCCTTGATCCCCCTAGCTGAGGGGGAACAGTAGCCGTGGGCTCTTCCTCAATGGCTGCGCTCATACTGAGCGGTCTGAGGGTGACTTCGGGCCTATCTGGACTTCCCACCTCCCTTTCTCTCTAGGTGAGCAGGATCAGGCTGGACCTGGCCCCATTTACCTGTGTGTCCCCACCAGCACATGGCAGTGTTTTGGATGCAACACAGAAGGGCTCAACAAGTATCTTTCGAGCTGAATTGACAATAAAATGATGTATAGGTGAGTCAATCAATAAATGAAAAATGTATAAATGATGAATAAATAGGTAGACAAATGGATAAATTAATGAATTAGCAAAATACAACTCAGAGTGAGTGACTGGGGCTAGGGATATAGCTCCGTGGTAGAGAGCTCGCCTATTAGGTGTGAGGCCCTGGGTTTAATGCCTAGTGATGCTAAAAAAGAAGTGAGGGAATGGGTGGATAAGTGAAGAAGTGACAGAGCAGTTAGCTAGATGGATGGGACTGGTCCATGAATGAATGGATGACTAGGTTGTTAGATGGGGGTAGGTGAGTGGGTGGAGGGGCAGATGGGTGAGTAGATATTGGGCGGTGGATGAATGGATGATGGATAAACAGGCAGATGTGTGTGTGTGTGTGTGTGTGTGTGTGTGTGTGTGTGTGAGTGGGTGGGCTTGACAGATGGGTGGTCGATGAATAAACCAGCAGATTTATGAATGAATAAGTAGATGGAGTTAATGGACGAAGGACTGTGTGAATAAGAGGATAAATGGATAGGAGAATTGATACCTGAGTAGATGCTAATGGAAAAGTGGACGAGGCGAGCGATTGCTGGCAAGGTGGAAGGACGGGTGGGTAGGTGGATGGAAGAATGAATGGGTCAGTGAATATATGGTTTCATGATAAGTGCGTAGATGGATGGTACGTGTACCTGGGGGAGCAGATAAATGGGTAGGTGGGTAGAAACAAAGACAGGTAGATGAAATGGTAAGAGACTGATGTGTAGGTAGACGATTTTGTACACAGATAAATCTGGCTGGACGAGTGAGAGGACAGAAGGAAATGTAAGCCAGTGGACAGATGGATGGACGGGTGGGTGAGTATGTATTTGTGAGGCTCTTGGCTGACTCACCACAAGGTTGCCAATGACCATGACAAGTAAGAAGACCAGCAGGCACAAGGACTGCCCCGACACCTCCATGCAGTCCCACATGGTTTCGATCCACTCGCCACAGAGGATGCGGAAGATGATGAGGAAGGCGTGGAAGAAGTCCATCATGTGCCAGCGGGGCAGCAGGTCTGAGTCACTGATGCGGTGCCTCAGCTCTGAGTAGTTCTTGCCAAAGAGCTGCATGCCCACGACGGCAAAGATGAACACGATGATGGCCAGCACCAGTGTCAGGTTCCCCAGCGCACCCACGGAATTCCCGATGATCTTGATGAGTGTGTTCAGGGTGGGCCAGGACTTGGCCAGTTTGAAGACCCGCAGCTGGTGAGGGAAACAGCAGGAAGAGGCCTTGTGAGGGGCTTTGGTTCCAAATGGCCACAGATGCCCGTATCCTCTGAAACTCAGCCCCAAACCCCAGGAAATCCTTGAGGTCAGTAGCACCTGCCTCTTCCCATTACCACAACCGTACACACTCAGGTTTCTCTGCAGCCTGGGGGCAGCCTCACTGGACCCTGCTCTGGGGACTAGGTTACCATCTCCCACCAGTCTCACCAACTCAGAGCCTCTCTTGTCCCCCCATTAGCCTCCTACCTGGCTCTCTCTCACTTCCAGGAACTGCCCGATAGATTCGGAATGGCCTTCCTCAAAGATCTGTCCCATCAGGAATCCTTCAGGCCAACTCAAACCATCTCTTCCCAGAGAAAAGGGGCAGGTACTTGGTATTTATGGAATACCTACTAAGTGCCAGGCCTGTGTTTCAAATGGATGAACTCCCAATAATGATGGGAAGTTGGCACTATTACTACCTTGCTTGACAAAGGCAGAAGCCAACTCTTTATGGCAATCCAGCTGGGATTAGAACCCACAGTCTGGGTTTTCTTTATTGCTCCATCCACCTATCTTCCTACACCCTCCGTGGAACCATTCATGGTGCTCAGGACCTGCCCAAGTAGTCTTCTTTGACCATACCTCCAGCCCATTATCTGGACCTGCGCCGTTTTTGGACTCTCAAGTTTGGTATGGTGTCCTCAGGCCATTTGTGCATGCATCAGTTCAAATGTTAAAAATGCCTACCCAGGGGCTGGGGATTTAGCTCAGCGGCATAAGCGCCTGCCTTGCAAGCAGGCGGTCATGAGTTCGATCCCCGGTACTGATAAAAAGGAAAAAGACAAAAAAAAAAAAAAAAAAAAAAAAGCCTACCCAGCAAGCAGAGCCCTAGATGAGCAGCTGGTAGACCCAGATCCACCTGTTACCTCCATGTGACCTTGGGAAAGTCCTCTTACCATTTAGCCTTAGTCTCCTCCTCTGTGAAAAGGAGACGGAGAAACACCAGCCCCCTTGACACCACCAGCATTGGGCCGGGCACTAAGGGACAAGCACTAGCCAAAGGCTTTGGGGTTCAGGATTGACAGATCAAAACAAGTCTGATGGTGCCCTCGGAGAGTGGTGTACTCAGTTCCCCTCTCCGCCCCTGCAGTGGGCCCAGCAGTACCAGGCGGAAGGAACGCAGCACCGACAGGTTGCCCATGCGGGACAGGCCCAGCTCCATGAGACTAAGAATGACGATGATGCTGTCGAAGATGTTCCAGCCCTGCTGGAAGTAGTAGTAGGGGTCCAGGGCAATGATCTTGAAGGTCATCTCTGCTGTGAAGATCCCGGTGAAGACCTAGGGAGGGAGCAGGCATCGGGTCCTGAGTGTGTGCTGGAGACCCTGTGCCCTGCTGCGGCAGGGTCTTCCCCTGGGACTGCCCCATCTAACTGCCCTGGGCTCCATGTGGTACCCGCCTGGTCCTGGCTCTCTTCTTCAGCCAAATGCCCCCAGCCCTCTCACCTGTGAACAAGCACGGCCCCAGCCTTGCCCTCAGAAACTGCCAGAGCTCCTCCTGGGCTCTCCAGGGCGCCTGCAGCAGGGAAGCTGAGGTGGCCAGTGACCTAGCCCCAGACTCCTTCCCACAGGAGGCTCCACGGGAAATGCTCTTCCCCATGCAAAATCCACACATTCCCCACAAACATGTCTGGTACATGTCACTCGGTGTCTGCCCATGCTATACCTGCTACCTGCAATGTCCTCCCTCATCAGCACAAACTGGGCTCATCCCACCGTAACAACCAGCCAGCATTTCTCAACAGCTGACGATGTGCCAAATAGCGGGCCAGATTCTCCACTTGGGTTGTTTTGTTTAATCTAACAACACAGTGGAGAAAGTGCAACTGTCCCCATATGACAGTAAGGAAACTGAGGTACCAGAAGATGAAGTGGCTCTCTGAAGTCAACTTTAGTGCTTTCAAGATCAGATGAGCCAGTACAGTCTCCAAGATTTAGAGCATGCCCTCTCTCCTGGAGAGCTCCCAAGGAGCGTGGGGACTGGGTCATGCCTGGTTTGTTGACTCACGAGTCCTAAGCTGCCTGGCCTGGGCCTAGGGTGTGACGGACCTGGCAGCTGGCATCACAGCCAGCTGTTGCAAAAGGTGCCAATGGCCAGGGTGGGGCCTGGAGCCAGAGGAAAGGCCATCTGGTGAGGATGCAGCCGGGAGGCTGCACACCGGCTTCTTGGCCATGGTGAAGAGCTGGGGGCTGTTCTGAGGGCAGGGAGGAGACACGCATGGTCTTCTGCAGGGGATGGCTGGTGAGAGGACTCAGTGACTCTGGGAATGGTGCCAGGTCTGTAGCAGCTAGGAAGATATGGGAATCAGACACAGGCATGGCTATGGCCTCTCGCTTGGGTCAGCAATCAGAAGGAATTGGAATCTGTGTTTTGGCCTGATTCCCAGGCCACGTGAAGTTTAAGAAGTGCTTCTTCGGAGCAGGCACACCGGGATCACATAGAGAGTCCTGAAATTGCTGACACCTGGATCCCACCCCTGTGCCTCCAGGTAAACTAGACTGGATGGCAGTTCTGGGGCAGAGAGCTTTAAAGACCTCGCAGGTGACTCTAACATGCAGACAAGCTAGAGAAGGACCTGAAGGTTGGTATGCCACATGCTCATTTCACAGTCACTGAGGTTTTAAGGCCATGTGTTCACAGATGGGCATCTGACCTTTTGAGCTGCCTGGCTGCCTTGAGCAGAGAGGAACGGTCTCAGGTCATGTAATGAATAAATAATACACTGACTGTATATGAGCAACAAAACTGCCTATTTTTGGTGACAGAAGAGTGAACCTAGGGCCTCTGCACTGAGCCACATTCCCAGCCGTTTTTAAATTTTTGAGACCAGTTCCAAGTCACTAAAATGCCCCAAATTGATCCTTTTGCCTCCGTCTCCCAGAGTGGTGGCATTACAGGTGTGTGCCACCATGCCCGGCTTTGTGTTTTTGTATTATTACTGTATTATAAGAAAGAGGGACAGTGGCTCCCAGGCTGTAGGTTGGACATTCCTCTTAAACTTTCAGACCGGCAGGGAATGGTAGCCCAAGGTACAGAGCTGGGTGTGCCACTGTGTGTTGTTGGGCCAGCCTCTCCATCCCTCCGCGGCTCGACTGTCTTTGTATGGGGGGAGAGGGGCACTAAGCAGCTCCATAGGAATTTCTAAGTGCCACAGCTGATGGATGTAAAGCGCATGCCCTGTACGAGGACGATGACCGTTAGCATCGGGAGCATTTATCCTGGATGCCGAGACCCGAGCAGGGGCTGCTGCAGACACAAGTGGATGCAGGGAGCGGGCAGGGCTCTGGGCACAGAGCCCTTCTTCCCTTGCCTCCGGGCAGGAGGGCCACCACCAGGACTGGTTCCCTGAGACAGGGCCCATCTGGGGAGCCCCAAACTCTTTGACCTTGGCATATGCCTGTAGTGGTATCATACTCTACACACTGTAAACCTGCACTTACAGCACAATACCCTCTGAACATCCCTCCATACTAATGAAATACAATCTGAAGTGTCATTTTTCTTTAAAAAATTGTTTTTAGGGGTACCAGGAATCGAATTCACATTTGCCAGGCAGGCGATGCACTACTGAGCTATATTCCTGGCCATATTCCTCTGTGCAGACATGCTATAACTAGTTTAACCAATTCCCTGTGATAGGCATTTTCCCTATTAAAAACATTGCCATATTAAATACAATTTTACTACCTATCTTAAAATAATCTGCCCTTCCTCTCCATAGCGTAGGTTTCTGGAAATGGAATGGTATAGTACAATTTACCCAGTACCAGAGATGATGGTATGAGGTTAACTGAGCCTCATAGGTGGGTCTAACCAATTCCAGCAGATGACTGTAACTGACTTGCTGTACTAATACTGGGTACACAGTCCTACTGCCTTCTCTAATTCAACAGGACATGTCTGCTTTATTGGTTATTTCTTTAAGTTTTGTATTTTCTTCTCCAAATTCGCCTATTTATATTTTCTGCTCATTATTCTATTAAGGTGTTTGTTTTTTAAAAAATTCTCCAAAAATCAGGGGCTGGGGATTTAGCACAGTGGCATAAGCACCTGCCTTGCAAGCAGGCAGTCATGAGTTCCATCCCCAGTACCAATAAAAAATAAAAATAAATAAAAAATAAAAAATAATTCTCTAAAAATCTACATTAGGGCTATTATCCTTCCGTGTACTGTATACAGTGCCACGATATCTCTGTTTTGTCATTTATCTTTATTGCATTTTCAAGTTAAAAAATTCGAGAATATATACTTTAAGTACAGATAATATGCAGCTCTGTATCACCAACTCTACTAAAGGTTAGCATCTTGCCATGGGTAGTATAAAGGTAGCTATCTTTTCTTTCCAATGTTGTGTTTTTCCTCACAAAATAATGAAGACTTAAATAGAATTCACTGTATGCCAGGAATTGTTCTAGTGTCTTATATAAATTAAATAATTTACTCTGTAACATGTTATGATTATTAACTCCATTTTACAGGTAGAGAGAGGTCACAGACCCAAATGGTGGCCTCCAATATTATCTTACCCACCATGTGTCACCAGGATAAAGCTGAAGCCAACCACAGAGCTACACTTCTTGCAAGGTAACCAGCTCCCAAATTTGACATTCAATGTCCCTAACTCCTGTGTTTTTACATTTTAATACATAGCACTTTAACATTACTGTAAGCTTTATATAAATGCTCTTTGCTGTTTGTGCTTTCAAGTTCTTGTTATTTTATTTCTTTTCTTGGTATGAGAGGGCAGGGATGGAACTCAACTTTGCCCCTGACAGGCAGGTGCTGTGCCACTGAGTTATATCCTGTTCCTGTTATTTTTAACATCATGTTTATGGGATTTATCCATTTTCTCTCTCTCTCTCTCTCTCTCTCTCTCTCTCTCTCTCTCTCTCTCACACACACACACACACACACACACACACGTATTTCTAACTGAATGCAGCATTTCATTGTATGACTATACCACAAATTATTTGTCCATCTTTTATAGATGGCTGGAGATTTATGTTGACTTTATGGAGATTTATGTTGACTTTACTTTCCCTTAAGACTAGCATGTTTCCTGTACAGGTTTGCTTGTGCCAATGTGTGTGATTTTCCTAGGAATGTATATAAATGGAGTTGTCAGGGCGGTACCAAATCCATATTTGTACAGACTGTCACCTCCGGCTGTTCCACATCCTTGCCAACCATGGGCATTTATTTTTGATTCTATTATGGGTGAGAAATAGTATTTCAATAGTGTCTTAATATTCATTCCTCGTGTTTCTCTGCATTTGTTTGTAATTATCTCAGTCTCTTCTTCCACGCTTTGTATATTACTTCTTCTGTCCATTGTTGTGGATGTTGTGGATCCAATGCTTACACCATTGCATTGCACCCCTTTCCTCCTTGACGTGTTAGAATTCAGTATTGTCTGGAGTCTGTCTTTCCAGTTAAATACTTTTCATAATGTTAACTTCTAATTTGTGGTAAGGTTGTAACTTAGTTTATAGGGTTTTCTGTTGTACAGATAATGTAAGTTTCAATACAGGTAAAGGCAGCAATCTTCTTTCATGGTATAAATATTTCAATTTCTTAAAGGGTTTTCTCTATGTTTTATTCTAAAGGTGTTAAAGTTTTGCTTTATCATATTTAAATGTTAAATACAATTCCCCTTTATGTAGTTCATAAGTAGGGTGTAAAGTAAGGATCTACATTTATTTTCTTTTATAAAGGTAACTATTCTTTCCAGAATCTTTTATGGAACAATTCTACTAGTTTATGACACAGTTGATGTTATTTATCATGTCTCCAAATACGCCTTGTTCTCTTTCTGGAATCTCAATTCCACAGCCCTGGTCTATTTATCACTATCCCAATATTATGTATTTTTTTGCTTTATAATACAGCTCAATATACAGTAGTAAATTCTTCATCATATACTTTAATTTGCTTTAAGATTTTTTTATGTCAATTTTAGAATTACCTTGTCAAGTTCTATGAAAAACAGTATTGAAATTTAGACTGGAATTATATTGAATTTATAAGTTAATTTGGGAAGAATTAATACCTCTACAACACTAAGAATTCCACTCATAGAAATGTCACATCTTTAAGTTTTCTTTTGTTTTCTAATACTTTTACATTTTTTCATTTAAAGCATCTATTTTGTTATATTTATTCCTAGATTTCTATAGTTTTTATTGAAATTGTATGTTAACTTTTAAAATTCTTGTTCCAAATGATTGCTGATGGTGACTAGTGGCCAACTTGTTGATTGAATCTGTGTTCACTAATA